ATTGGCTCGTTTAGTTTACACTCGAAGTAGATTGGTCCCTCTAAGCGAGATCCCAATTCGTCGGTCCTCCGACGTGACGTCTCCGTTCCCTCCTTCAGGGAACGAGGGTTACATACGTAACCGAGACGTTTCTGCTAATAATATTAATATTTTTTTGTTAATTATTTTGTATCATACATCAAAAAAATCACAGAATCCAAGTTTAACAATGTCCTTTATGGTTTAGAAACACATGTATAATGTGTGTACAGTTACATTACAATCTGCAAATAGCAAAGCTGCAAAATCAGCCTGACTTAATATGTGACTTCACCTTAAACAAAATGCACACGCAAAATCCATATAATTAAACTGAATTAAACCAAATCACATATTCAAAGGTACCAGTTCAGCGATTGCTCCTAGCAGGCAGGAGAGATTCATCTGAATAAATCCATTTTGTGGCCTCTCTAAGAGCTGTCAGCTGACCCTGTGTTGCAGGTTAAGGGTTAAATGGCTGTAAATGGTGACGACTAAAGCTGTAGGCGGCCGCTTACAGGAGATAACCTCCTCATGATGCCTCCTACCTTCATATTAACCCTAACATGAGGGGCGCCACCCATCCACCCACATCACACGAAAAACAGCCCCACTGCCGATTTAAAGGAAACACTCCATCACTGAGCTTCATCTGAATAATCAAGCTTCCTACAAAGAGAGAGTCAAACCACAAATCTGAAATCTGTTGAATGTGCAAACAACTTGACCCTGGAACTGATCACTGTAGTAAGATAATATCTTTTTAAAAGTCAACATTTGACAATCCTTTCTATACTTTTATTGTTATTCTGCCTATCTGCACTTAAACACTATGCAACAATAAAAAAACACAGTTTCTGGAACCTTTTTTTAAAAGTGTAGTCAATTTAGAATATAATAAATATAATATATATTTATAAGTCCCTTTAAAGGGATGTTTTCTTAAACTGGTTTTCTTGAATGGTACAAAACACAAGCTTCTTACAGCACACCGTCCAGCATCAGCTAATAACCCACTCTCATTAATGTAATCTCTCGTCCACAGTCAATTGTGAATACATTTGCCCTGATAAAACCACAAAACCTGACGTAACCTCAAATTCAGGATTCAGGGGGGACTAAGCATAATAATTCAATAATCAACCATTGAAAATCATATCATCCTTTGATTCATCTAAATACTCAAGGGTGAATAGGTGGTTATGGCCCTGCTAATCATACCATATTGCACAACCCCTTGGACCCGTATTGCATATTGCCCCTAGTGTTCAAGATCTTAATGGACATATAGGAATTTGTTCTCGCGGGGAAAAAAATGGCAGCTGTGGTTGCCAGAATAATTCTGTAAAAGTACAGAAAAAAATTATTTTACAGTTTAAAAATGTAATTTACTCAAATCTGTTTTGTACCTTTAGCATACTGACAACCACCATAATAACACAGTTGGTAAAGAGAAAGACACGTGAAGAATCAAAGTATAGCTTTTCCACAAGATGAGGTAAATACTGATAAAAGGTGTACACAGTATCATAACACACAATACAAAACCCTACAATGATAACACATGACACTATAATAATACAATAAACATTAATTTAACAACCTCAGATGCAACATAAAACCCTCATGTACGTTAATGATAACAAACATTATTACTGATAAAACAAATATTTAAAAGAAATGCTATCAAACGTGAGCTGTCACACAAGGAATTCTGGGAACGGCAGTTTACGGTTTTCCATTGCCAATTATATGATGACTTAAAAATACATTTATGAATTATATATTAAATCTATTAGTTTTACACCATATAAGAAAACTTACCATTAACCAGTTACAGTCTTTTACAATTAAAATGATAATAATTTTTTATCCTATTCATAAAATGTAAAACTAGAGGATTAGGTCACACTTTATTTTAATTCTCGCTATTAACAAACCATTAACTATGACTTTGGCCTCAATAAACTCCTAATTTGCTACTTATTAACAGTACGGCAGTTGTTAGGTTTATGTTTTGGGTAGGATTAGGGATGTAGAATATGGTCATGCAGAATATGTGCTTTATAAGCACTAATAAATAGCCAATATGTTAATAATAGGCATGCTAATAAGCAGTTAATAGTGAGAGTACCTATACTAAAGGATTATAATCTCTACAATCTCTTGAGTTATAAAGCAACAATGTTTTATCTGATAAATTAGGATATAGGCCTATTCTTTTTGTCTGTCATGTCCTACATGTTTTCAGAGTTTGATACTCATGGTGAAATTGGGCATCCAACTCTAGTGGTGCACAAGAGGACGAATCAGATGACTGAATTTCTGCAGCAGGTTGGACATAATCATTGTGTCTCTTCTAAAGTCTAATTTCATGACAAACCTTAAAATTAAAGCTTAGACAGCAGTGACACAGCGCATATTACAGAAATAAAGACAACATTTAAAAAGCAAGTATTAATATTGATAGAAGTTATCTTAGTGCTTGCTTGCACACAACCACTGGCATAATTATTATAAGTATCTTTACAATGAATAAATTAATAAATATAAATGCCTGAGAAAATTCTAGAACAGAATGTCTGGACAGCGGTTATATTTCTGGATAATAACAGATACAGTAACACCTCTGAAAGTGAACTATACAAAAAGGTTACATTTGGGCCATGGTGTGAAGACTTTAATGATCGTTGAGGAGGTCTGGTACTGGAGTGGTTCACATTATCTATATCCAGAACCTGGGTTTTTGATCTAACTCTCTCACTAGACCTCCATGACTGCAGCATCATAGAGGTTATATGGATGTCAACACTGCAAATCATACTATAATGACTATCCCACATGCTTCGCTCGCACTAAATGCTGAATCCATCCATTGTCTTTTAACTGTCCGTTTCCATCTAACCCCATTAAGGATGGATGTGGTCCACATATGATAGAGTTTGGTCACAGCTGTCCTGTTCTGCAATAGTAACCAAAAATATACAACAAAATACATGGAATCCCACCATGAGTGTGAAGAAAAGATTAGGGGGTTTTCTGAAAATAAAATATGTGAGCCTGAACCACAAAACCAGTCATAAGGGTACATTTTTTTAAATTGAGATTAAATAAGAATAAATAAGCTTTCCATTGATGTATGGTTTGTTTGGATATGACAATATTTGGCCGAGATACAACTATTTGAATATCTGGAATCTGAGGGTGCAAAAAAATCTAAATATTGAGAAAATTGCCTTTAAAGTTGTCCAAATGAAGTTCTTAGCAATGAATATTACTAATCAAAAATTACATTTTTATATATTTACGGTAGGAAATTTACAAACTATCTTCCAACATGATCTTTACTTAATGTCCTAATGATTTTTGGCATAAAAGAAAAATCAATACTTTTGACCCATACAATGTGTTTTTGGCTATTGCTATTCATGACAACACTAAAGATTATTAAAATAAACGCATTTGTAATGTATTTATAGAGAAGTGGAAATGTACATAGAAAAATGAATGGAAAATTAGGAAGCCTATAACACGTTTAAACCTATATCCTCGGTTGTTTTTGTTATGCAATAAAGAGCAGCATAAACATGCTGTGATATAAATAAGTTAACTTAAAGTTACAGCTATAGTTTGAAAAAAAAAAGCTTAAAATCACAGAAAAACACAAATATGCGCGTCTCAAGCTCACCATTCCATGCACAATAACAAATACAGTAAACCGTAAATGAAAATAAAGGAAGGACGTGTAAAATTCACCGAAGAGGGCGGTGTCTGCCTGAGGCGAGACCACACTAATAACTCTTCTGTTTGATCAGTCTAGCTGAAATATAATAACGTGGCCGAAATGGTGTGCCTAAACAGATGTTTGTTAAAACCCTTTTTGACATCTTAAAAATAGCCTTTAGCTGACGCTTACATTTTTATGAACTTTTGCTACACGGAATAAAGAAACGCTATTTTTTTCCATATGGAAGCCCCAGAATATTTTTAAATAGGCCTATATTATCTATTTTAAGAGCCTTGTCTAAGGAAATATGACTGAAGAATATATATTATGAATGTAATATGCCTGCCTGAAGAAATACATCCGCCACTTTTTCAAGAGATATCACTTACAAATAGGGAACAAATACTTTCAACATAATTTTATATGTATCATTATAATGAATTATACAAACAAAAATAAATAAATAAATAAAACAAGCCATATTACCTGTATTAATAATCCAGTAATTCGTCATATATATA